TGCAGTCTTTTCCTAGAATTAGGAAGCTGTGCATCAGGGCAAACAGACCTCTGCCTGCATCAGCTTCCTGTGAGAGTCTTCTGTAGTGATGGACTCATATTTTTTCATAGAAGAGCAAAGAATTGACTATGATAATTAAAAAAAAATGCTCCTACGGTTGAACAGACATTTTGGAAATTAATAATTACAATGGAAAAAGCTAAAATGCGCACACTGAATGTGGACAAAATAAATACATTTCTGTAATCTGACTCTTGTATTTAATTTGGTCACTCTTCATCTTTATAAATGAAGGCAATGACTACAGTTAAATTCCATCATTGAAAAATGTATAGTATATGTGTATATATAATATAGAGTTATATTATAAGTGTTTATATACTGTATTGTGTTTGGGTGTGTGTGTGAGAGAGAAATAATGGTTACCTGCAAAAACTTGGGTGGTTAAGCATAGGTTCCCATAGAACAACTAATTTTTACTGTTGAATACTTAAGTACAATTAAGATGTGATACTTTTGTACTTCTACTCAAGTAGTTTTACAGAAGGTTACTTTGACTGTTACTTACTTACATTTGTTTCAAAGTAGCAGTACTTTGACTTAAGTGTCTTTTCTTCCAACACTGTGCTTTGCACAAAGTAATTACAGTACAAGACATTACATTTGCAAGCAACAAAATAATAAAAATGGGTTGCAGAGACAGGAGCGCAATTCAGTGAATTACAGGAATAAGACAAGAGAAATGTGAGGAATGTTATGAAATTTCATGTCCTGTCTTTAGCATCCTTTTTACATTTTGAACATCCTTTAAAATGCAAAAACATATAGATAGGGCAGGGCAAAGTGCAGGGGCATCTGCAGCACTACTGAGCATGCTCAGTGCCTCTGAGGTGATTAAATGATTAAAAATACATTTAAGCAAAGAAAAAAGCCCCCTTCCCACAGCCACCCTTTCACTTGTGCCTCGTTCCCATTGGGGAGGTTGTTTTTATTCCTCTGCCCTGTCCGTGCTGGGGCTTTGCACTCTGTGTTGTGGAATTTAGCTCGCGCCCCTCCCCTCACCAGAGCTGAGTTTGCCCAGAATGGATCCTAACTCTGCCTGCATCTGCTTTACCCCCTTGCTAAGTCAATGTTAAGTCATCTCCTCTGTTGAGCCACTTGTCTTCCTTTTTAAATGCTTTTAAAATGCCGTGAGCAAAAATGTACAGCTAGTGTGGACAGAGAGAAGGGCAGGGGTGTCTGCATTCCTACTGAGCATGCTCAGTGCCTCTGAGGTGAGTACATGATAAAAACATATTTATGCACATAAGAAAGCCCCTTTGCCATGATTATACTTTGACTTATGCCTCATTTCCCCTGGGGAGGCTGTTTTTAGCCCTCCTGCTCCGCCTGTGCTGGGGCTTTGTTGATGAGTTTCCCAGGTGACACCCCCCCCCCACCAGAGCTGAGTTTCCCCAGAATGGATCCTAACCCTGCCTGCATCTGCTGCACCCCCTTGCCAGGTCAATTTTGAGACACCTCCTCTGTTGAGCCACTTTTCTCCCTTTTTAAATACTTTTAACATGGACTAAGCAAAAACTTACAGAGAGAAGGGCAGTGGCTGCAAGAGAATTGCTGAGCATGCTCAGTGCTCAGGAAGTCTCACAATCTCTCAAGTAGGAGCTTTCTACATTACACCAGCCCTCTGCGCTGTGAAAGGCGAACTGCTGGGGTACTTCCATCATTAGGGTTCAGAGCCAGCACCTGCTCAGATAACTCTGGCTGTTCTCAGCCGTTGGAGCTTTTGTTTCAGGCTGTCTGCAGGGTTGGGCACACACCTCTTGGTACTTGTGTTTTGTGATTTTCTTTGCATTTATAAGGCTTTGATAGTAAAAGTTTTCATTTAAAAAGAAATAAATTGTGCCCCACGATTAATGTGCAGCTACTGTGAAATAAACACTTTCCAGTCACAACATTGCAGATTAGCTCAATTTGTTCCATGCTGAAGTGGCAGGTGAGGTTGGCTAGGAGGAGACTTTATGGTGGGAGGTGTCAGATGGCTCCATCAGCCCCTAAAGGCAGTGACTCCCACAGAGAAATGAGGTAAAGGTTGAACAAAAGGCTCCACAAAATGTTGCATAATCTTTTTTTCCAGCAGTTCTAACAATTTACTGTTTGCATATCACCAATAACGGGCCAGGTGTGATTCGCACTGAAATAATTAGTTTAAAAAGTTCTCCCCTCTTTTTGATTAGTTTAAATAAATATTCAAGGTGAAGTATGTGTGGGGGAAGTAAGGGATTTAAATGCACTTTTTAAATCCTCCCTCCCCCCAAATTATTATTCTAAATCTTATGTGCTTGATTACCCAACAAAAAATGATCCTGACCTGGATCTTCCATTTACCTGCTGAAAACTCATGATCTGCTAATGTGAGATGCATGGTTGGTTCTTCATATCTGTGAATGTGTGAACGCGTCGGTAGGGTGGATTTGATACTAGGAAGCATGGGATTTATAACTAGGAGATTTGGGTTTATTTTTAGCTCTAACACAAATTTCCTATTTGACCATGAGCAGGTCGTTTGACCTGTCTGAACTTCAGAATACCCATCTTTCAACTACTAGGGTTGCACAAAAGTTCTAATTCACTCCTATTTGTTGCACTGCACTAGAAAGCTAAAAAAGTGAAAATTATCTTATACAAGTTGTGTGAATGAGATTTTCCTGGGCAAACTGGTTGATGGAGCTTTCAGACTATGTCCAGTTTATCCATCGAAACTTTGATTTCCACAGATGCTCTTCATGTCCAGCCCAGCCCAGCCATCTCCAAATTCCTCTGAGCTCATAGTCCTTTAAAAGCCACTGCATGAAAAAAAGATGTGCCAAGTATGTATTTAGCTTAGCACATTTACTGCTCTGCCTAAGCCCTAAGGGATCAGGACCGGATTAATGGGGGGGGGAGGGCTAGCCGGGCAGCTGCGTGGGGCGCAAACCTATGGGGGGCACCTGATGATGGCAGCTGTGAGGGGTGCCGCATGCCCGGGGCCTGCATGGCGCCCCCTACAGCTGCAATCAGGCAGCTTGTACCTGATTGCAGCTGTAAGGTGCGTAGCGCGCTGAGGGGCAGGGCCGTGCATGCGCCATGCGCTCGGGGGCAGAGCCGTGCATGAGTCGCATGCCTGCTGTCCGGGGCGCAGGAACGGCTTGAGCCGGCCCTGTAAGGGATACCAAAGTTGGGATGCTCTGTGGGCCTGGAGCCAGGAACCTGAGTAGGATAATTCTTTGGGAATTAGCCTTGGGTGAGTTAGATTATAATATAGTAGCTAGTAACTATATTATAGAACCATAGAATACTAGGACTGGAAGGGACCTTGAGAGCTCATTGAGTCCAGTCCCCTGCCCTCATGAGAGGACCCAGTACTGTCTAGACCATCCCTGATAGACATTTATCTAACCTATTCTTAAATATCTCCAGAGATGGAGATTCCACAACCTCCCTAGGCAATTTATTCCAGTGTTCAATCACCCTGACAGGAACTTTTTCCTAATGTCCAACCTAAACCTCCCTTGCTGCAGTTTAAGCCCATTGCTTCTTGTTCTATCTTCAGAGGCCAGGAAGAACAAGTTTTCTCCCTCCTCCTTGTGACACCTTGAAAACTGCTATCATGTCCTCTCTCAATCTTCTCTTTTCCAAACTAAACAAGCCCAATTCTTTCAGTCTTCCTTCATAGGTCATGTTCTCTGTACCTTTAATCATTCTTGTTGCACTTCTCTGGAACTTCTCCAGTTTCTCCACATCTTTCTTGAAATGTGACGCCCAGAACTGGACACAGTATTCCAACTGAGGCCTAATCAGCGCAGAGTAGAGCAGAAGAATGACTTCTTGTGTCTTGCTCACAACACACCTGTTAATGCATCCTAGAATCATGTTTGCCTTTTTTGCAACAGTGTCACACTGTTGACTCATATTTATCTTGTGGTCCACTATAACCCCTAGATCCCTTTCTGCCGTACTCCTTCCTAGACAGTCGTTTCCCATTCTGTATGTGTGAAACTGGTTGTTCCTTCCTAAGTGGATCACTTTGCATTTGTCCTTATTAAACTTCATGCTGTTTACCTAAGACCATTTCTCCAATTTGTCCAGATCATTTTGAATTATGACCCTATCCTTCGAAGTAGTTGCAACCCCTCGTTGCTTGGTATCATCTGCAAACTTAACAAGCAGGGCTCGCCAAGCTGTGGCGAGCTCTATTTGCGAGCTGCGCGGAAGCGCGCGCTGCGCATGTACAGACCGCATTGTGTGGCCCCGCCGGGCTAAAATCTACTTGCCACAGGCAAGTAGATTGCCTCATTTGTCGAGCCCTGTTAATAAGTGTACTCTCTATGCCGATATTTGAATAGTTGATGTAGATATTGAACAGAACCAGTCCCAAAACAGTCCCATGTGGAACCCCACTAGTTATACCTTTCCAGTAGGATTGTGAACCATTAATAACTACTCTCTGGGAACGGTTATCCAGCCAGTTATGCACCCACCTTATAGTAGCCCCATCTAAATTGTATTTGCCTAGTTTGTTGATAAGAATATCATAAGAGACTGTATCAAATGCCTTGCTAAAGTCTAGGTATACCACGTCCACCAATTCTTCCTTATCCACAAGACTCATTATCCTATCAAAGGAAGCTATCAGATTGATTTGACATGATTTGTTCTTTTTAGATCCATGCTGGCTGTTTCCTATCACCTTATTATCTTCCAAGTATTTGCAGATGATTTCATTAATTACTTGCTCCATTATCATTCCCGGCACAGATGTTAAACTGACCCATCCCCATTGTCCGTAGAACATACTTTAATATGCAGTTCTTTGATACAGGAGCATGGATGCTTTGGCCTAAGATTCTACTCTCTTTGTTGAGCTGTTCTCAACTAAATCTGTAGTTTATTAACTAGCTTTGGGCTCATCATATGACAGGATATAATCAATAAATCACGGGTGAGTTTTGTATGCAAAGTCTTATGTTTACATTTCAATGTCCATACTCTGTTTCTGTTTTATCCTTCCACCACTTCAGTGGGTTTTTTCACTGTGCTTCATCGAGCGTTACCACAGATACATACATGTGAGCATGTTTCTGGAGCCTTGTACCTCCTTAATGTTTCTTAAAATATATTAGCGCATGCTCAGTATACTGTGTTTTACTAAACTGTTAAAGTTAGTGGCAAGTGTATGTGTATATACTATGGATGTAGTAGTGTAGTCGATTAACTGTCATGTGGCTTGATTTATTTTGAATCTTGGGGAAATTAAGACATGCCAGGGCTACTTAACTACTTTCTTATTTATTGCAAGCTTTAAGCAGTTAATATAGTTGTTTGTTTTACAATCCTTAAGAACAATTACTGTATAATTTAAACCTTAACTACTATGAATTCTAAAGCAATTAATACAGCGCAAAGCTATGCAAAAGCAATTAATATAAGATCTACTATAATACAGTAATAAAGCCTAATTTACTTACACGTCACCTGTATGCTACAGTATACCAGGCAAGATTTCGTGGTTCCTTTTCTTCCCATGCAATGGAATGCCATGTACTGGTTCGACGGTGTGAAGGGCCTAATTACTTCTAGTTACATTGAGCAAGATGTGTGGGTCAATCCTGCCCATTCCCTCCCATCGATTGTTCTTACTAAGCCCAATTTTATAGCAAAGACAGACTTGGTCATTCTAATAATATTTACCAATTGATTACATATTGTGTAGGATACGTAAAATACCTAATGCCTGTATTTTGGGGTACATCTTGCTACCCAAACTATGTGCGTAGTTGACAGTTTCATTTCTGCATCTGTACTTTTTGCTTATCAGAAACAGAAGTACCAGTACAAGGTTGCTTGTTCTGTGTTCTTGACGTGGTCTCAGGGGCGGCCCATGAGTCTAGGCAGACTAGGCAGTCGCCTAGGGCGCCGCCAGCCCAGGCGCCCTATGATGACGTCACGGGGTGCCCAGGTGACCCGTGATTATGTCACGGCCATTGACAGCCGTGCAGTTGGGGGCGCTGATTGCGCCTTCCTCCTGGGGCGCCAGCTGCTACAGCTGGCCTCGGGCCGCTCCTGCGTGGTCTCACATACCATGCTTAATCTGCGTTGTTATTCAAAACATTTTCTGACTCTCACAGCTTCCCTTGACCATGCCTGCATGCTTTGGCACACCAGACTTGAGATAGGCCAGAAGTCTGCACTGTGGACAAGGCAGACAATCACCATTTATTGCCAAGGCAGACAAGTACCATTTATTGCCAAGGCAGGGTAGTCCAGGTTCCCCTACATTAACAGATAAGCAAAAGCTTATAGGTTAATGCTATAGACTACACACATTTCCCCTCCCCTCTCCCCCCACCACCAGTAAATTTTTTTAGAAGGCTAGCCAGCAGCCCGGCTCAGTTTTGGCTCACGCCAGGTGCAGGACCTACCCCAGCTGTGGCTCTGCAATTAAAGTGTATTAGGAGTTGGGCAGGCAGGAAGCCTGGCTCAATTTCAGTTCACGCTGAGTTTGGGAGCTCAGACCTCCCCACCTTCTCCCCCCTACCAGACAGGGGCTGCTGCCACCTTGCACTGCTGCCTCTTTATCAGAGGCAGCAGCACAGGGCAACAAGCAGTCGTTCTGCAAAAGGAGCTGGTTTTTAAACTGGCTCCCCTCAAGGACTAGCTCCCATCTGGCATCCTGTGCTGGCCCTGCCCCCAGGGACTATAGAATAGTCAACTAACTGATAAGAATTCATGAGGTTACTCAACTATTCAATTATCCGATAGTTAACATTCCTACTATATACACATTCAGAAGGCAAAACTTGGCTTTTACAATCATTATTTGTAAGCAAAATTTCTCCGGAGTCAGAAGAGCTGGTATGTATTGAAGACCAGGCCTGTGGCAAACTAAATGCAGGCTGCCCCCGACTTGCGATGCGATTGGTTCCAGAGATCGCGTCGCAAGTTGGAGGCATCATAACTCCACATCATAACTCGAGTCCACATTTACGACAGGCGTCGTACACTGTTGTAAACATGGGGCCGAGGACGTAAGTCGGGGGATTTCGGCCCCTTCCTCACTTTCAGGAAAGGCCTAAGTGCAGGGGGGGGGGTCATAACTCAGGCAATCGCAAAGCGGGGGCCTCATGTAAGTCTGTTTGTTAAAACGTGATAAGCAAATCTGAAATCACTGTTACTTTAGAGAGGCTTGGATAAGGCATGAAAAAAGCAACTGAAGCCTTAACCTGTTCTAAAAAGTAAGAACTGAAAAAAAATCTCCAACAAAATAATACCATTCTACCTCCTGGTTGACTATAAACATGATCAATTTCAACCCAAAGACTATTTGTATATGCTTTAAACAAGGCTTAAAGGGAAATTTTAATGAATAAAAGTTCCTATAGCAACACCAATATATGTGTTTGTGGAACATTTAAAACTTGTCTGTTAGAGTGAGTGAATCCAGTTTAAAATAATTGTTTAATCAATTGCATTAACTGCATCTGTGTAGAATGCTCTTTTTTATCTTCATTGTTAATGAATGTGTTTATATTTTGCTTCTTGGAGTTAATTACTAGGTATTACAGTAATATATATATTTCATCTTTAAATGATAAATGTATATCATTTTTCTGTCCAAATATCATGAATAGGGAACAGTCTTAAAACCTTTTTGCTGCTTAATTGGAAGTAATTGAATTAACTTCTGATTTTTGACAGGCAGCGCCATCTTGTGGTAAAGTGATAACTTTATATTTTTATTAAAGATGTAAATATAAAAGCTGCTGTACCTTTATATACATGCAACAGACTACATTTTCAAAAAAAGTTCTTATCAGCATCATCAAATGAGTGTATAAAAAAGTTTGAGAACATAGCAGGTTGATTATATATGGTTTGGCACTTCTAGAGTGAAGTAACCACACACTTTAAAACTGTCAAATTGTTTACAAAGGCAGATACATTGGAACCTCTCATCTCAGGTTCTGTTTTGCAGTTTTTGATTTGAAAATTGTTCAGCTATTTGTCAGTAAGTTTTCATAAAATCTGGATAGTTGATTATTAATATATTCAAAGACAAAAGGCATCTGAGAATTTCTTGTTCTGCCTGGTGTACCATTGTGTTCTTGGAATGAGTTTGGCATAGGTTTGTGACCAGGAACAGACAATTGAATAATCTGACTTTGGTTGAAATGCTTTGATTTTAGCTAAGATCAAGTATGGTATCACTTCAATATCTCACACATTCTGTCAGAGGATCTTTTTCTACCCTCAAAGTCTGAGTCTGACCTCATACCACTTTTAGGTCCTGATTCAGCAAGATACATAAACAAATGCTTATCAGATAGTCAAGTAAACTAGCCAATTCTCGCCCCCCCGCCTCTTGCTGCCTCTATCAGATAGAGGCAGCAAAGGGGAGGGAGGAAAGGGGGTACTTCAAAGTGGCAGTGCTGCATGGAGCCCGTATCAAGCTCTGTGCAGCACTGACCCTTTGAAACACTGCCTCGGCATTTCAAAGCAGCAGTGCTGCACGGACCTCGGTATGGGCTCCATGCGGCGTTGTCGCTTTGAAGTACCTCCTCTCCTCCCCCCCATTTGCTGCTCCAGGAGCCCGGGAATCAGCTGGGGAGTCTCTAGCTGACCCCAGGCTTCGCGTGGCATTTCAAAGCGGCAGCACAGCATTGTCTGTGGTCATAGGGGGACTCTGAGTCCTCCACTGATCCCGGGCTCCACCTGGGTGCTTCCGCTTTGAAATACACAAGAGCCCCCCCATTTCAAAGCTGGCACCCGTGTTAAACCTGGAGTCAACAGGGCTTCCCACTGGCCCTGGGCTGCACGTGGAGTTCTGCATTCCTCCTTTGAAATGAAATGTACAAGAGCCCCCACTGGGGCTCTCATAGAAAGGAGGAATGTGGAAGTGCCTATCAACTAGTCAATGGAAAGTCAATCACTACTCGACTAGTAAATTACTCAGTATTTAACATCCTTAGTATGTGGGTAGTTCCATTGGCTTCAGTTGAGGGATACTGATTTGCTTAAAGTGAGGCAAATGCTTAAGAGCCTTTCTTTTAGTGGAAACTCTATTTAATTGCGTTACTTCTGATTTGTAATGTTGTGAAAGTGGCACATGCCTCATATTCTTATACAGAGCTCCTAACTGTGGATTTCCTTGTGCAAATGGAAGGTAGCATTTATCCTTTGAGTAAGAAAAATTTTTCTTCTCAATGACAGAGAGAAACATTTATAAATTGTTAGTGTTTGAGTTCAGTAACTATCTTGTTTTCTGTTTTTTACACTTTCTTTATAGGAAATACAGGATGCAATACTTATGCATAATACACAGTGATTTCTGGTATAATATATGATTTTCTAATTTAAAATTTGTCATGCTTAGTATTTTTTCAGTTATATATCCCTCAACTTCAAATAATTACTGCACATTACATTGAATTTTAATATTTAAATGATGGGAAATGGCAAAATTGGATTTTCAGCAAATATTTCAGACTTCACAGTATATGGATAGTTCAGACAGGCCTAATATAAATGAAAGTAATAATACGACCGAACAAACGTATTCTTGAGTTCATTTTTTGTTCCAGGAAGAGAGTAAAAAACCTTGTGTGTAAGCACATAACCAAAGTTAATTCACCAAATAGTTATGTTTTGTGGCTCAGTTAACTGGCATATGATGGTGTTCTGTTAAATTATAAAGGGTAACAAAACTTCATAGTAAATTTTTCACTTTTGTTGTCAAAGGATTGTATTTTTGAAATACATAAATCATAATTTCAGCACATAATTTGTATTATAAAAGGAAATGAGAGGATTGTAGCCTTAGTTCTTAAATGTATTTTTTTTCTTTATAGTCTTCTCAGTCTCACTGGTTGACAACAGAGGAAAGGACCCAAGTTTTACTTGACATCAAAGCTTCAGGATGGTCTGAGCTGGGTGAAAGAGATGCCATCTACAAAGAGTTCAATTTCAAAACTTTTAATCAGGTAACTATTGGTGTATAGTATCCCTAATAAAAATAAATATAATTTTCCTAGTGAAGAAAGATTCACATCCACAAACCTAAGAATGTTCATTTGGGAGTGAACCCTATTTACTGACATGAAGAAAGCAGTCTCACTGAAGATATCCGACCAGATTCTAATCTTAGTTACCCAGGTGTAATTTCATTGACTGTGTTGCCATTAGTCTATGGTAAGACAAGCAGAACTTGACTCTTAATATCTTTGTCATTACTAGCATTCCTAACGGAATGTTAAAAATATTTGGCTGTTGCATAGCACTTCTCATACAAGTCTATGAAGAACTTTACAGAGGCGAGTAAAATGAAATCATAGATATCTATCTCAAGCCAAACTTGGAGAGGGGGAAGGAGGGAATGTGAGAAGCATGTTAAAAATCACCATTTACATAAGAAGGGAGAGTTATGGTACTTTCTTGAATTAATTGCCATAGACTTTGTGGCTGTGTCTAGACTGGCAAGTTTTTCTGCAAAAGCCGTTGCTTTTGTGCAAAAACTTGCCAGCTGTCTACACTGGCCACTTGATTTTGCGCAAAAGCACTGACGTTCTACTGTCCGAAATCAGTGCTGCTTGCGCAAATGCTTTGACGTTCCTGTTCGGGCAAAAGCCCTTTTCTGGAAATGCTTTTGTGCAAAAGGGCTAGTGTAGACAGCTAAAAACTGTTTTGCGCAAAAAAGCGCCGATGGCGAAAATGGCGATTGGGGCTTTCTTGCGCAAAACCGCGTCTAGATTGGCCCGGACGCTTTTCCGCAAAAAGTGCTTTTGCGGAAAAGCATCCATGCCAATCTAGACACTCTTTTCCGCAAATGCTTTTAACGGAAAAACTTTTCCGTTAAAAGCATTGGCGGAAAATCATGCCAGTCTAAACGTAGCCTGTGAGTCTGCATTTGGTACAGCAGATTGTAGGTTTAAACAATCCTGCTGGAAAGGTATAACAAGTGGGGTTCCGCAGGGGTCTGTTTTGGGACCGGCTCTGTTCAATATCTTCATCAACAATTTAGATATTGGCATAGAAAGTACGCTTATTAAGTTTGCAGATGATACCAAGCTGGGAGGGGTTGTGACTGCTCTGGAGGATAGGGTCATAATTCAGAATGATCTGGACAAATTGGAGAAATGGTCTGAGGTAAACAGCATGAAGTTTGATAAGGGCAACTGCAAAGTGTTCCACTTAGGAAGGAGCAATCAGTTTCACACATACAGAATGGGAAGCGATTGTTTAAGAAGGAGTATGGCAGAAAGGGATCTAGGGGTTATAGTGGACCACAAGCAGAATATGAGTCAGCAGTGTGTTGCTGTTGCAAAAAAAGCAAACATGATTCTGGGATGCATTAACAGGTGTGTTGTGAGCAAGACACAAGAAGTCATTCTTCCGCTCTACTCTGCGCTGGTTAGGCCTCAGTTGGAGTATTGTGTCCAATTCTGGGCGCTGCCTTTCAGAACGATGTGGAGAAATTGGAGAGGATCCAGAGAAGAGCAACAAAAATGATTAAAGGTCTAGAGAACATGACCTATGAAGGAAGGCTGAAAGAATTGGGTTTGTTTAGTTTAGAAAAGAGAAGATTGAGGGGGGACATGATAACAGTTTTCAGGTATCTAAAAGGGTGTCATAAGGAGGAGGGAGAATACTTGTTCATCTTGGCTTCTGAGGATAGAACAAGAAGCAGTGGGCTTGAACTGCAGCAAGGGAGGTTTAGGTTGGACATTAAGAAAAAGTTCCTAACTGTCACGGTGGTCAAACACTGGAATAAATTGCCCAGGGAGATTGTGGAATCCCCATCTTTAGAGATATTTAAGGGTAGGTTAGATAAATGTCTATCAGGGATGGTCTAGACAGTATTTGATCCTGCCATGAGGGCAGGGGACTGGACCCGATGACCTCTCGAGGTCCCTTCCAGTCCTAGTATTCTATGATTTAAACCTCATTGAGCTTGAATTTTAAGGAAAAAGCCTGGGTCATACTGTGCCACCATTTTTTAAGAATTTTTAAATTTGAAAACAGAGATGAAACCTGCTTTGAAAATGGATGGTATCATATGGCCAACTATTATTAAATGTATTTTAAAGAGAAGATTGTCAGCTAGATTCTTGCTACCATGTCTCTTTTTGTAGGTGTCTCACTTGAACAATCAGAAATCAAATTTTCCTTCTAAAATGAGATAAGTTACAAGCAGAATAGTTAACTGTATTAATGGCTGTTCTAAATAAGACACAAATTAGTCCTAACGTAAACTTCCCATTTCAGTGCCTTTAAGCTTGGGTTTATTTTGATAAAATGAATTATGTTTGATTTTGTCTTTTTACATTTTCTCATTGCTCTTTTTTAAAAACCTGGCTTTACTGATATTTATGACACTTTTTATGCAAGTGACTTATTTTTATTTTAACTTGGATCTTCTTATGCAGGTTTAGGATCACGTTATCAAAAGGTTAAAACTTAGCTTTAGAGCACTAGAAGATTTATCCTGTAATCAAAAGGTTAAAACTTAGCTTTAGAGTACTAGAAGATTTATCCTGTATTGCTTTGGTCCTAAATTCAATTAATTTTTGTTTTTTAAAAAAAATAAAATTTAAGTGTACATGCTTCATTTAAATCATTACTTGGGATGGAGCTGGAGACGAGGAGTTCAGTATGCAGTGTGCCTTGGGGAGAGAGGACTACCCCAGCCATCTGTCACCACAGCAACTTGAGGTCGGGGGGGGAGCATGTTCCCCGTCTGGGGCAGATCCAGGTTTGTCTGGCCCCTATGCTACTCAGCCAGAGTGAGGAATGCAGCAAACTGTGCTTTCCACTTGCTCCCTGACAAAGGGGAATAGTCAGCAATGTTCCCGTATGAATCGGGAGGGGGGAGGGTCAGTCACCACTCTCCCAAAGGGCCCGTTGCTGGGGCAGTCCTGGATAGGGGTGGAGAGTGCCCAAGCCAGCCCTTTTCACCTGCTCGGTGAGTCTGTTTCTTTTTTTTCTGAGAAGCAATCCCATTCCAGGCATATACCATTTTCCTGGCACAACCATCCTTAAAAAAGGATGTTAAGAAGCAGGTAGTTGACTAATCGTGTACTCGATACAATTTTTATTGAGCACACGATTAGTCGATAGCTGTGGCTCTTAGTTTAAATGTAGTAGGCATGTAGGCAGCCCAGCTCCTACTACATTTAAACTGCAGAGCTGCAGCGGGGGTAGGTCCGGGACCAGCGTGAGCCAGGACTCAGCAGTCTCAGCTCACACCATGTTCCAGAGTGCTGTGGCTGTGCTTTTTAAATGTGAGTCCCCTACTGCGACTCTGCTTTTTAAATGTTGCTCCCCCCAGAACCGGCTCCGGCTCCTGCTCCTCCCCTCCACTTGCTGTGTCTGATACAGAGGCAGCAAGGTGTGGCGGGGAAGTGAGTAGTTGAGTAGTGACTTAACTCCCAATAAGCCTAAGTTTATCAGGTAGTCGACTACTCGAGTAGTGGCTTATTTCCCCAAACCAAACCTTGCTTTATGTTATGATAAGAGGAAGCTGTATACTGAATTTGGGGGTCCTAGCTCTTACCATTCAGGAGGAGTTCTTGAATAGACAGACAGACAAATGCTGTAAAATATATAGATGATTCTGCAGTTGTGCACACGTTTGTGTGTAGATATCCAACCAATGTGTTTGAAAAATTGACCTTAAATGTGTGTGTTTAAGTCTGCTGCTCTTCCCCTCATTTCTGTTGCTTGGGTGAAGTCAATTTAACAATCCTCTGTTCTGGTCAAAATAGGGCTAGATTGTTGTATTAGGGATTTTGGATATTGTGTAATTGAATAGTCATGTAACTGCATGAAATCTTAGTGGTTACACGGCTACTCGATAGACCCTGGGGCAGGGCCGGCAGCCAGTGCGCTTTGACCCCACTCTTGGGAAGCACTTGCCACCCCACACTGCTGCCTCTGTGTCAGAGGCAGCAGCACGAGGTGGCAGGCAGGAGCTGGTCCACCAGGGGAACCAGTTTAAAAACCAGCTCCCCTCGCAGACCATCTGCCTGCTGCCCCATGCTGCTGTCTCTGATACAGAGGCAGCACTGCGGGGTGGAATCAGCCCCTGTCTGTGGGAGGTCTGAGCTCCTCTTGGACAGACACTGGTCTGGCAGGAGTTCATGGGAGGCGGAGCAGCCTCTCTTCGTGGAGAGGTTTGGACCCCCCATGGACAGGGGCTGCTGCCATGGACTAACCTCTGTCCATGGTGAGTCCAGGCTGTGGCAGACAGAGGTTGCTTTGCAACTGCCTCCCTCTGTGTCGTTGCCTCTGATAGAAACCGGCTTTTAAGCACCGACTGCCTGCTCTCCCCCCTCACTGCCTCTGTAGCCTCTGAATGCTTGCAGCTGGATTTACAGAACAAATGTTTATCTCCTAGGAAGGTGGCACTGAAGATGAATTCAATTGTTCTAGTTCATTTTATCTACCAGTGGTTATATTTACTACTATCCCCACACAACCTTTGCTTATTTATTGGTATGTCTCAAAAGCATATTATAAATCAGGGAAACAAAGTGCCAAAAATGGAGCTAGCTATCTGCTTTGTAGAGTTTTGTAGTCAATACGTGTCCTTTAATAAATACAGGTTTTTATATGTAACTTTTTATTTAATTTAATACATCTTCTGTTTGCATAATTTAATGTGAATATTTAGTAAAAGTCAGATAGTCAAGAAATACCATTTCCTCTGTGATCTTCATCATGCATGTAAAAAAAAAAAAAGAGTGGTTGAACTGACATGAAAATTATTTCAGATTTATGTTTTGCAGATGATATGAATGTGATCAATATATTCATTGTTGCTTTATTGCTTTCAAAAGATAATGTGCATGATACATGGTAGGGATGTAAGCAAAAGCTTATCAGATGGTTGACTAGTTCCTTCTAGAGGCAGCAAATGGGGGGGAGCAGGAGCCGGTGCTGGGCTCGTGCTGGGTCCCCCCTGCTTCGCTTCAGCCTTTTAAAT